CTGGCCCATTAACTAAGGGAAATGCACATGCTGATCAATTGGTTGTATTACTAAAAGAGGCCTCAGATCTCATCAGCTTTTACATCAGCCTGCAAAAATGTTGTCCAAACAATTCTCAATCTCTCCACAAAAAGCAAAACAGATTATGAAGAAATGTCCCACTTGCATGTTACATCTACCTCAAGGGCCTAACACAGGAGTCAACCATAGAGGTTTGCTAAGGGACCATATCTGGCAAATGGATGAAACACATTATACTCCTTTTGGACATCTTGGTGCATTACATGTCTTTATAGATACCTTTTCAAAAGTCCTATGGGCTACTGAATCTACAGGAGAAACAACCAAAATGTGGAGACAAAGAAACATGTCACAAATGAAAGAAATGAAAGAAAGCAAACTACTGGATATAAAGTTCAAAACCACAGTTATAAGGTTACTCAAGAATTTTCTAGAAATCTCCAAGGAATTTAGTGAGACTTTCAAGCAGCTTAGTGAGAATGCCAAAAAACAAAAATGGAAAAGGACCAGTCAAATGGAAAAGGACTAGGCAAAACAGGTTGATAATCATTGCCTAGCTGCTTTTGCCATCATGGGAATTACAAAGATTATTAAATCCAATAATGGACCTAGTTATACAAGCTGTCAATTCAGGGAATTTTGTAAAAGGTGGAAAATTCAGCACATCACAGGAATCCTATCTAATAAAAGAGAAACAGGGCAATTAGCCATACCTCCGCTACCCTTCACATTGGCTAATCAGGGAGATATGCAAATTAACTGCAAGCAAAGATGGCGGCCGGCAACCAGGCAGCTTTACGCAAACAGGGAGGCTTGCTTGCTTCAGTGACGGAGGAAGCCAAACTTCTCCACCTGCCTTGCCAGCCTCTGAGCTGCAACTCTAAGAAACATTGTAACAAATATAGAAGCTAAACCAAACCCCAGAAACCTGCTTTAGTCAGCCAGGCTTCAGCCAGCAGGACTGCAACATTGTTTCAAATACAGAAGGTAAACAAAGGCCAGAAACCTGCTTTCAGCAGCTGAGGCCTCAGAAATGGAGCTGAGCCTCAGAGCTAAAGCTGGCCCAGATAAAAAAAAAAAAAAAAGAAAGAAAGAAGGCTCGGTTGGAGCTTCAGTCACCCACCAGCCTGAAAACG